AATAATAATAATAATAATAATAAGACGTGATTATTTTGGACTGCGTTTTAAATGTTGCACTCTGTGTTCAGAACGAATATTATTAGTTACACTGTACAGTGTAAGACAAATAGGGCAGCTGACCCGGAAAAAACCACTGCAATTTTGTCGCGCAGTTGGTAAAAAGAGGTTGAGAACCGCTAATTTAGTTGACGGAGAAGAATGATGTTCATATTTTACAGGAATGCTACCCTTTGCCTTTTTCCTGTGTGTCTCGAAGTGAATCAGGCTCCCAGGTGCCAAACTATAGGCTTACTGTACTAAATAATTGCGGGTAATAATCCGTAACTTGTTCCATGATGGTCTATTGTGGTCTATAAAATAGATTAAATGGATTACGTCGGATTAAAATGATAAATTCGAAGTATTAATTGCATTAAATTCAGTCGTTTACTATGGCCTGTGAGTTTTAAGATTCTCAAGGCGTCGTGAATATTGTGCCGTGTAGTCGAATTCAAGTTAACCGACGTTTCGGAGGTGCTTACTGCCTCCATTATCAAAGCATGACTACACAGTTGGAAATTCAGAGGAGGTTAGCTGAGCGTACGGTACAGCCTCAGTTCTGCACTCCTTTGTCATTGGTTGTCCCAGAATGGTTAAAGTGGTAACCTCTGTGATGGATAATTTGTGACGCCAGTTTCTTTTTTAAAATATTTGTTTGATAATAGAATAATTTATGTGATGGCGATGATTCGGTAAATAATTGTAGGTTAATAAAATGTTACCGAGTGATGAGCCACGTCAGATGATTAAACGATGAAACCGACGTTTCAGAGACCATCTCTATCCCCATCATCAGGGTTCCGACATCAGACGCGGCTGATCACCGAGAACTTCGTCGCGAAAGCTTCAAATTCTGGCTTGTCACGTGTCAGGTGATGTTTTTTCTTAATAATTTAATGTACCGAAAGAATATTGCAGAGGAAGGATTTTATTCAGTCACTTAGGAGAAACAGATGTCAGACTGAAACCCTTTAAGGACACGAATGTTAAGGTTAAGTTCGAGATTAGTCGCCATATTTATATTTTGAGTTACCCACACGCGGGTTTCCGTGCTTTCTTTGTTACTACAAACATATTTCGTGTCAGGATTTTAAACGTATCTTTGCTGTCCGTAGTGCAACTTAAAATTCTTGAATACTCGACACTCGTGTGTCTAATTTGGAATGAATATCGGTTGGTGGACCAATTAAGTCTCTCAGAATCTTCTTCTGTTCTTAGCAGACAGATGTTGAGTTGGATTTGAGGTTTTCGCGGCGGTATGACTGAAGATACCATCATCATCGCCCTGATGATGGAGGCAGCAAGGACTTCTGAAACGATGGTGAAGTTCTACAACCCAGAAGACGGCCATCTTCAAATGTCGAGATAATTATTTAAAGTAGGCTGTCTCTCCGTTGGACATGTGGACATGGAAATTGTACATAATTTAGAAAGAGTCACAGAATTAATATGTTAAATAATGAAGTTAGGTTTTTTTGTCAATATTAATCCTAAATATCATTCTTTACGGCCGAACCAGACAACGCTGTAATCATATGTAAAGGCGATATTCATTGATGTTTTTGATTTAATGACTTTGTTTTAAAATTGCATCAAGTTTCCTTCCGATTTTAATATTATTCTGCCTTACACTTAGAAGGTGAAAATTTGACAATAAATTTGACTAGTAACTATAATAGCGAAGGAATGGGAACAGGGCTTTTACTACAAGGGATTATTTCACGGAATAGTTAATTTATTTATCATTTATCTCGATCCAGTCCTCGTCGTGCGTGTTGTGCAGAGTCTGGCAGAGCGCGGTGTTCGTGGGGGTTGATGTTTTCTGAAACTCTGTACGTGCAGTCTGGACTGCTGGCGAGATAAAGATGGAGAGAATGCGTGCTGTAGCCTGGCAGGGAGTGAACGGCCATGCAGATCTGTAGTTGCGAGCATGCAGACCGCGAGAACCAGTAGAAATAGTGATGATAACAGATGTCGCTGTGAAACTGAAATTCTAGTGCCTGGAAACCCGTGTGCCAAGAGAGGAGAACAGTGAATAGATTTTTTTGAACGAGCGTGCGAATATTTTGATTTTTAAAACGAGAAAACAGTTATCATTTGTGATGTATTTGAAATTTCAGATTTTAAAAGCGATTTATTTATTATAATCACATACAAAATAATAATAATAATAATAAAATGTCTTATACGGGTTAAACTTCTCATTCCAAGGAATGGAATGGATGAAGTGTTACATGTATACGGGTATTGTCCGCGTTTATATGAAGTGTGTAGGAACGATGGATCTGTTGTTCATTTTACGTAAAAGGTGAATGGAGAGTGTGTGGTAATTATTAAATATACCGCTTTATTTTGTCGTGTTAACTGTAATAAAATTAATTGATAATTTATTGTGTTGAAAGATACCACAAATGACAAACAGTCTGATCAAATGGGGACACTTTAAAATATTTTTAGTCGAATACATGCTAGCGTCTGAGTAAACCGATTTAAGTGCGCGTCTCAGAGTAAGAGATTTTCTCTCCGCGTCCTGTGTGACTGATCCCAGCCAGAAACGTCGCCGATTATAACGTCCGCTGTTTGTGACGTCGCACTGTAAAAGTCTCGGTGAATTATTATCCGATTAGTGTCTACGGGTGGAACTTTCTTGAGGGTTATAATTACTACAGGTGTGCTACTTTATGGACTGACGTCTGGTTATTGTCAGTACATTGTACAGGTGATGCTGTCTTGAGGGTTATAATTACTACAGGTGTGCTACTTTATGGACTGACGTCTGGTTATTGTCAGTACATTGTACAGGTGATGCTGGAATGGGATTTTAATTTTTTTTTTTTTGAAATGAACCATGGAAACTTTACATAAAACCGATTTTAATCGGGAGCCTCTGATATGCACAGAGTCCTCAGAAGTGCATAATAGAACATCGTAATCATATTTAAAGTATCGTTATTTTGGGACTTTGGGTATTTTATGTGTGTCCTCGCTGTCTTTAAATCTATTTATCGTCTACGTATCTTCTAAACCTCACGACAATGAAATGTGTCATTTTGAATTTAAATGATTTCCATCTGAGTTACTGGCATCCGTTCGCAAAATATCTTTAACACCAGTGGTCCACGTCTCTTCTGTTTGCTATAAAGCTACGACTCGCGATGCTGTGTTCACGCTGTCAGAGAAGATAATGTCTCCGAGGCCAACGTTGTGTTTCGCGATAACTCTTACCAGTCACGAACGATGATGATACTTTCATATTTATCTCACATTGGAACCAAAAACACACTGATACCCCCTAACAATGGTATATAGCATTGTTGTGATGGGGCTGTCTTCCATAAATTATTGTAAGTTGTGTAGTAAGAAGAAATATAAGGAGTCGTGGTCTGAAAGCGTTGCTTTGGAGTCGGTGAGATAACACAGCTGAAGATGTTCGTCTTCCTGTTGATCAATCGTTTGGTCCATTTCTTAACTCAGTAAGAATTTAACTGTTTTTTTTTTGTTGTCTAGAATTAATTTCTGCTCAATGATTCTTGTACTGAGCTGACGTTGCATTGGTTACTTCTCAGATCACGTAGACACTGAAATTCATCAATGAATTATTCGCCAGTGAGCTTGTATTTATGTTATTGTTTCCTACTAAAATCTTGCTTGAAAGGAAGCTTTTTAAGTGTTGGAGACACTGAGAAGTGGTTAATAAATAGGTCACGTCATTAGACTTTGAATTGTTGTCAGTGCTTGGTAACAATACGTGTTTTCCAAGATCCTCCTTGGTTAAAAGACAATAGACAATACAGTTATATTGACGAGTGTAACTGAAGTTGGAACACAGAGAAGAAATTGTTTTGGAATAATTTAATTAGAGAAGAAATTAACGGAGTTTCTGACGCGAAAGAAGGTTTAAAAACTGTTGCCACAACGTCTCATTGACATGCAGGGGACCATAAGGGTGAAGATGGTATCGCCAAGACTGAAGAATGTAGTGAAGTGGAAATTGTAATAAAAATGGTTACAAGGACAAGTTGATTACTTTCTGATTTGTTAATATCTTTCAGAGATGTTTCTAAGAGAGTCGTAGAGAAGTATCTGTCTTTGATTTCATTTCGCCACGTCTCTTAGTAAAAACTCTCCTATCGTCTGCGGTTACATATTCTTCTTCTTATTATTCTTCTAAATATCTTGAGTAGGGGAACGAAGAAAAACATTGACATTTTTACATTCTTGAACATAACTGTCAGCGAATGGGGGAGCCCATTTTCGACCATTGTGTGCTGTTTTTCCACTTGCATATAAGGCAGAATTATTTGTTGTGAGATGAAAGAATACTGCAGAAGTGATTTAGAAGGGTTGACATCATGTAGGGAGGGTTTTATGGTGCGGTAGTTACAAGCAAATATTGTGGTAGACTGCATGATTTAAAGTTCATAAGCTATTGCAAAGTGCCTGATAAAGCCACAATATAAACTTTCTTGGTTAAATTCTTTGTCGTATTGTGTAGACGGAAAATGAAGGAAAAGAAATGTAACAGAAACTTTGGAATAAATACAGAATGTTGATACCTGAAAATAATTGCCGATAACGTAGCAATGTGTTCATGAAAATAATAAGTGAACGTTTCTGACTTCGTCCTCGATTGATTTGATTCTGTGTCACGCTCTTATGGAAGCAAATGATATATTAATTCTTTGATTGAACTCCATTTATTCTGAATTTGGCAACATTCAAGTTCCTAGTTAGTTAATTATATTCTTAAAATCATCGGCAGTGACCAAATATTGTTGTTTTTACGACATTGAAGAGAATATTCCTCGACCATATTTGGAGTAAACTGAGCGAAATATTTATGGAATATCGTACAGAAAACAGGTGGTCGAAGGAAGTTTTCTCGCTGAACATGTGGGAAATTTGGTAAAAATTGTGATCACATCTGGTTGTCGTTGAACACTGTTAACAATTCTTCAAGTGTTGGACGTAAAATGGTGATAGGTTAGGCCAAGGATTTTATAATAATTCCGTTCGCGAGTTTTTACGAGTGAACAGTTGGGTATAAACTAAGCATATTTAGCTTAATTCAATACATTTAAAAAGTTAATAACAAATCTGTTTCGGTACGTGTTTTGGAGTGAAAGTCCTGGATGAAATGAAAGATTATTTATAATATTTCAGAGGATTTGTCTCACGCCAAAAATTAGCGAGTTTCTGTAAAGTGATTGAAGAGTGTTGTGGATTATCTAGAAGGTAACTAACCAGAGGAATAATTAACGGAATGTTGCGAAGTATATTTGAATTATAATTTGCCGAATATTCTCAACTGTACAATTTTATAGTCTTTTCGATTCTTCAACAAATATCTCATAAGACATTCCCAGAAACAGTCTGTAAAGTGCAAATTAAGAAGTGAGTAGTGTGAAATTCGAAGGCTTTGGCGTAAGCCTTGCGTTTAACAAGCGTCATATCGGATAACTACATCTGAAGCCAGACAGTTGTATTCAAGCGTCACAGTCGACATTCGGTGACTTTGGCGACTGCACATCGAGGAGGAAGGTTCTTAAAATGTTGGTGGATAGGCAGTGTCGTGTTTAAAAAGGCCCGTTGCCGTGGCGACGGTGTGACATGTCCACTGCCAAGCGTCTGGTCCTTTCCCTGCGGGGTCGGAAGCAGTCATCACCGGGTGCATTTAGCGGCGGTAACGGTGGAGGTGTGCTGCCCTGTGACCCGGGTTCGAGTTCGAGCAGTACGCGGCTGGTGATAGGAGGCGGTGGAGTATCCCGCTACGGCGGTGGGGCCCAGTGTTCTTCCCCGGGGGGCGGAGACCACCACCACCACCACCACACCAGCTTTTGCAGTAACCACGAGCTGGACGAGATAGCCGTCGTCTCAACCAACGCCGATCCCCTCCACGTTAAATATGGCAGTGGAACGCTGACTGCCGCCAATGGTCCAAGGCTTGTCCCAGGTACGCTGTGTCCTGACTGCGTTTTGCTAGTGATTAAGACGTTGTGCAAGACCTGAGGGCCTCGCATAACTGCTTTTTAAAGCGAAACATGTGTAAAATATTAAATATGCATTTCTGTAAGGCGTGTAGTAGGGGTTGAACGTTGCTCAGAGCTTTCTTGTTTCCGAATTGAAACACAAATGCACTAAACTGAAGTATCAAGGTCGCGAATATAATGTATTCAATGTGTGTATTTGAAGGCCAATCTTCATGAGTGACTGTTGATGGCAATTATCGCATGGCTTAAACTGTATTGTCATAACAGGCAGAAATAGGGTACTGTTTAAACCCTTCGTTATGAGGCTAGATAGATTGCAGGTGTTTGAGAATCGGGTGTTGAGGAGGATATTTGGGCCTAGGAGAGAAGACGATGGGGCGTGGAGAAAACTGCGTAATGATGAGCTTAAAAATCTGTACTCCTCCCCCAATATTGTCAGGGTGATTAAGTCGAGAAGAATGAGGTGGGCTGGGCATGTAGCGCGCATGGATGGGGCAAGAGGTGTGCACCGGGTACTGGTTAGGAAGCCTGAGGGGAAGAGACCTCCGGGGAGACCTAGACGTAGATGGAAGGATAATATCAGGTGGGATCTATGGGAGATAGGAGTTGAAGGAGACTGGATTTTGTTGGCCCAGGACAGGGTCCGGTGGAGGGCTTTGGTTAAGTTGGTGATGAACCTTCGGGTTCGGTAAGCGATCCAGTTAGTTAGTTAGTTATGAGGCTATGTACACGTTCTGATTTGCTGAATAAAGTACTATAATTTAACATTAAGTTTTAAAATCCAAGAAAAATGAATGCAGATGGTTGAACGCTGTAAGATGTGAAAATAGTATAACTTTTTGGCATAAGGGAAACGATGTGTGAAATGCAAGTTAACTTGCTACAAACAAATTATATCGGTATGAATATACGACACTCGTGTAGAGACAAAAAAAATGTTTAAGAGTTGTTACCGACCTAGAACTAACTGATCGACTCTTCTGGGTTGTGACACGTGTGACCTTGGAGGTTGTTACCAGTGTTATGGTTGAAGGTATTTCTTATAGCTTGTTGGTTGACACGACGTCAGAACATACAAGAACACTATTGAATTCTCGACAGCCTTGATAACACGAGATCTGGGCCACAATATATTTTATAAAAGATGAGAATGGCAATCCACAGGTAGATTCTAAAAATCAACTGAAATATGTACACGTGAGTTGTTATTACCTGTGAAGGGTTCTTTCAGGCCGAGATTGCTGTTTGAAAAGTTGAAAAGCATGAACATATTATCTGTAATGAAGCGTTATAAAGTCAGAACAATTCAATATAAAGTATTACGTAAAATATCCAAATTAAAAATAAATACGATAATGTCATAGCTCTATTATATAAAAATTTAATTGGACATTTTTAATTACAATAACATTTAATTATAATATTTTACACGACCAAATACTCGTATAATTTTCTACTGTAATTTACAATGGTTCTGATAGTAACAACAGCAAATTCTTGTCAATTCTAGTAAATTTATTTTTCATCGTCTATGGTCGGGGTTTTCTTGCGAAAGTACCACGGTTGAATTCTAGTAATTGCTGAAGGTTTAATGATGTTACGTTTGGAACTCAGGATATTTATTGTTATTCTGTAGCAGATTATGCTTTTTGAGACTGGTTTATTATAGTTCCTGGTTGCCAACACTTTCCTTTTATTTAGGTAATCAAGCGATTCCACGTATATTGACACACAAATAAACTTTACTCGTGAGTCAATAGTGTAGTTGCGTCATATTGTGATTTATTAAATTAAAATTAAATTATTCGGTTATTCCGTCAAATCACAATGTATTTAAAATAAGAATAATTAAAATAATTAAAATATCATTCTTTGTTCCATATCGAATAATCGATTTACAATTGGAACAGTTACAACATGTTTCGGTTTTATTAAACCATCATCAGGTGTAAAATTATATTAAATTTAAAACTCAATTATAATTTTTTACAATTTTTTCGTAGTGTAGTTTTTTGGAGGTCGTGTCCAGATATTTTCATATAATGGATCAACTTGTGATTTGATGGAATAACCAAATAATTTAATTTTAATTTACTCTTCAGCAATATTGAATTTGGTTCTGAAAGATTGTATTTCTACCAGAAACTTCTTTGTTAGAAGTCATACGTGAGAAGAAAGTACTAGGTCGAAAGTGAAATCTCAATTTCAGTCATTAATACTGGATACCATTAAGAATTTCGAGTCTCTGTAGTGGATTTTAGGGCAGTTTACCAAAAATTCAGAGGTCCTTGCTGCCTCCATCATCGGCCTGATGAATTTGGGGGGGTGTCAGTAAACCCTCACTCATCACATTTTATCTTTACTGCAAATTGGTGGATCATGTCGAAAGTCAGTTTTGTCTGCGAAATAAGGACACAAGATGTCCGAGCGACCGAATGGCGTAATCGATGTCCTGGAAAAAGGGATGGCACGTGTTTGGATGTGCTGAATAACCAGTCAGGCGTCAATATTTGGTTCATGGGCGTACGTGCACTGGTCTTAGGATCAATTACCGATGGCAGTGCTGACTAGAAGGAAAATTTTTGAAATACTGAAATGGGGAAAATAAGGGTAACGCGGCTCGAGGAACGTCTTCCTCGTCACTAATTGGGTAAATTGGTACCATATCATGAATATTCAATGGCACAAACTGATTAATGGACCATGAGCAGGTGGAGCGCTCAAGTGGGAGATATTCTTCCCACCTTCAGTGAATGTAATTCCCATCGCGCGGTCGGCAGAACTGTGCTTTTTCATTCTCTCTTCTTAAGTGACATTATCCAGGGTTTCCCGTCTGTCAAAAACAGAAGTTATCTTAATACGATGTTCATATTGACAAACCTTGTTGTACAACCATTATATTTGAACTTCGATAAACAGTGATCAAAAATTGTATAATATAGTTTTGAAATAACATCACGACAGCTCGTAAACCTATGGCCTCTCGAAGACAGTATGCTGAAAAACAGAAGATATATTTTCTCACTCCATGTTAGTAAAAGAAAAGGAAAATATGGCTGTTGTATGGATCTTAGCTGCCTCCATCATCAGGGTGATCGCCCTGATGATGGAGGCAACAAGGACCTCTGAAACGTCAGTAAACTTCTACCTGATAACCCAGGAGACAGCCATCTTCAGACTCACTGCCGTGAAAACCTCAAATCGTACAAAAGGAAAGCAATTATAGCTTAAGAACAATTTAAACTTTACACACAGCAAACAACGAGGAATTTATGACACAGATATTCAAATAAGAATTGTCCACTGACCAGATTTCATTTCAGTAATGTAACATTGCTTATCGTGAACACCAGCCAACAGATTATCTGCTACAATATATAATACATGGTATATTATGATAGTACTTATGGGGGCTTTCAAAGCAGATCCTGTTCTTTGATTACAGTATATATGTCGCTTGAAAATATTCCAGGAATTTTATTTTAAAATCATTTGTTTTATAGTTAGAAGTATTCAGTCGCGATCAGCTCCGGGACGGCTCTCAGGCCGTGAGCTGCATATTATTGGTCAGAAAACTTTGTGTGTTTTTCAGGTTTCTTCGTAAAAGCTTTCGCATTCTGCGAAAATCTTCCCTCGTGTGAATACTCCTGTGACCTCCCCACCCCAAACACACTCACAGACACTAAATCTATCCAACATTCCCGTGGCATGTTTTCATATACACATGTGACGGATTCTTGGATGAATTTTCAAAGTTGCATTTAGAAGACAGTTTGCTGTGGGGAGAATTACATTCGCTATGAAGTTTTAAATGAAAATATTTAATTATCACAGTTAAAATGTCCATGTTAGCCTCTTCCGCTGCTAGGTACAATATATGGAGAACCTAAGGTAAATTAGGTTTCCATCATGACGAATCGCCCTGAGAATGGAGGCTGTAAAAATGTGTGAAACGTCTACCAGACTGCATAGCGCAACGTCCAACTGTCATTTTCATAACTGCCGCTGTTAGAACCTGAAATTTCACATGGAAATGAGAAGTTGTCGTCACTTTGTTTTAATTTATCTGTTAGAACTACTCGGGGTATGAATACTTTTCATCATTTGTTCTGATACAGTGCAACTGACGTCGTCAAAATCGGCTACTTCTAAATTCGTATTGCTCTGAAATAGTGTCTATTTATTTCTTTCATAGTTGATTGGTAAAACGTTCTTTAATTGTCTGCTGATTGCCTTACATTTCTCGCTTCAATCTTTGGTATCGGCTGAATTGGTTGTTCCATTAGCATTATTTTTATACAGAACATTGACGTGTTTATAACATGGCCGGTTGTCTGAAACAAAGCATTAATGAATTTCAAACCTATATTTTATATGGTCTCTCAACTTCCCACATTAAATTTCTTACTAAAAATTTTAAAATTATCGTCCGTCTTTTAGGCCGTCCAAGAATTTGTTTTCTTACACGTATCTCGAATATAACCCCGGTAAACTGAAAGTTTGTCGTAAGTTCTGTAGAGGTCTCAGACCTACGCAATCCCATTCCAATGGCTGGAATGTCTCTTACTCTATCATTCAAGTTTATTACCTCAGAATATTTCAAATGGAAATGATAATCAGCACAAATTTTTAAAGCGTTTGGTGCATTGAAACGTTTTTCTAGAATAGACACTTAACCAATTAAAAATCTTAATGTAGTCTCAAGTCAAATTTGAATTAAAGTAGATTATAATTTAGCAAATGTCGATGTCATTTTAGCTCATTTAATTAGTTTTAAGAATTCAGTTCGTACCTCAAAGAAAACGCAACAGTTCTCTATTATAAAGATTAATTGGTTATTGCTGTTTAAGGAAATGCTATTAGTTTATATTGAGAATCATACAAAATGCAGAATTACTTGTTAAAGCATGTTTTACATGTAGTTAATACTGGGTTTTAAACAGTTATATTTCGTGGTATATCA